CGCCCTTCCCCCTCCCTCCAGCCCCTTTAAATATAATTTGTTAACGTTGGGACTTGTATTAATTAAAGCAGCAGCCGCTGCAGCCTGTGACCTGGGGGCTTGTCACCGTGAAATCAAGTTTAAATCCAGATTTCAAGGGGGAAGAGAGCTGGGGGGGGAGCGCTGTGTCCTCTTAGGGAGGGTGACTGTGACAGCTCCTTGCCGGTCCCTGGCCCCCCTGAGCCCTGGGTGGAGCAAGAGGCAGAAGGACCTGCCCTCCGCTCTCTGGGGTCCTACACAAGGGCCCCTGCCTCAGTTTCCTTGCTGCATGATGGGGAGAAGGACCATAACAGCCCCCCCCGGGATGCCCTGGGAGAAGGTGGCAGGCACTGTGGCTGGCTCAGGACAGGCAGGGGACAAGGTCCCTGCAGTGCTTGGGGCAGGAGCTGCTGGGCTTGGGGCTGATGGTAGCTGCGGACCTGCTTCTCGTCTCCTCTCATCTAGGGCTTCCTTAGACACGGTGAATGAGCGCAAGAGCCGGCAGAGGATTTCCCCCCTCCTATGTAGGGGCTTTGGAGGGATGCACCCCTTTCCGCTCTCCTCCTCTCTGCTTCCCCCGACTCTGACTCTCCCTGTTGGAGTCACTGTGGATTTGCACTGGGGCAGACTCACATATCACCCATGCAAGTGGTGGGGTGGGTATAAACACCCTTGGGAAGCTGGAGAAAGCAGCAGCCTGACCCTGACAGCTCCCCTCCCCCCTGAGCAAGCTGTAAGTCAGCAGGGACCCTGGGGCTGAGCCCTTCCTCCAGAGCTGGGTGAGCGCTGAGCTGGGGAAGTCAGTCCCTAGTCCCCAAGAGCTGCTTCTGTCCAGGTACCTGCACGAGGCTCGCAGGATTTGGGGGAGTGGAGGGGGAGTAACCCTTGTCCCCAGGACCTGGCTGCTCCATAAGGCAGCTGTGGTCCTTCCTCCAGCATCCTCTTCCAAGTCTCATTTTTGTAATCAAGGTTCAAAGGGCTCCAGCTCCCTGCTCCTCCTAGGGACCCAGCTTTTGGCTGTCTCGGGGAAAAGGGAGCCCTGCCTGGAGAGAGCTCTCAGCAGGGATGGAGCTCTCCTGAGCAAGGAGCGGGGCAGTGCTGAGCTCCTGATGGACCCTGCTGCAAGCTGCAGGATGCTCCTGGGCATCCTGCTGCCTACTGCTCAATTTGCAGGTCCTGTGCTTGGACACTGTGGATCCCAGGATCCTTCAAGCCATTCCCTGGAGCTGGGCAGACACTTCCTCCTCTTCCATCTCCCTCTCCGCATCCGTCTGTCCTGTGTACCACTGTCTTAGCTCCAGGCACCTCTCTCTGGACATGCTTTGTCCATCTCCCCATACTCCATCTACCTCCCTGTTTCGCCAGGCAGCATCTCTACTTGTATAAGTACTTGCACCCCTGCCACGGACCGTGTGCCTTCCCTTGCACCCATCCATCTGCTGGTCTCTGTGCTTCTGTGGTGACAGGTCCGGTGGGGCTGGGATGTGACCATGGATTTGGGCTTGAGGGTGTTTGGCAGGGTGCTTGGCTCCGAATTTCCCAGCTGAGCTGGCAGGAAAAGGCTGGTCCCTCTGGTTACCTCCCTTGTGAGGACCAGCAGTGCCAGGGGGATACGGGAGATGCAGGGAGGGGATCAGCCAGCAGCAGGGACGGAGCTGGACCTGGGATGGGTCTCCTGCTCCGGGGTCTCTGGATTCTCCCAGGGGGAAATCCACGCTCTCTGGGGAAGGCAAGCCGGGGCAGGCTGTGCCCGAGAGTCTGCACTGCGTGGCCGGGGTGGGAGATCCCTGGGGGAGCACACAGAGGGGTTGCAGCCCCGGGAGATGCTGGGCTCCAAGGGCAGGAGGGCCAAATTTGGCTGCCGCTGGGCACAGGCTGCCAGGGTGTCTGGGCTGTGCTGACATGGCTGGAGAGGATTGCAGCTCCAGTGCTGCTGGGGCAGCTCTGCCTGGCTGAGCTGCTCTTGTGCCTAGGTGTTTCCCAGCCTTCTCTATAGGCAGCGGGCACAATGTGGGTTGAGGAACATCTCCCCTCCCCATGTGCGTCCTCCCCCAAGCTCTTCCCCCTCCCCGAAGGGGAAGTGAGCGGTTGGCACATTCCTTGCTCCGAGCTCACGGGTTTCCCTTTCCCTCCCAGCTCCTGCTCCAATGAGATCCTGGGCCTTAAGCTGCCGTCGGAGCCGGTGCTGAACGCCAACACGGTGTGCCTGACCCTGCCAGGGCTGACGCGGCGGCAGCTGGAGGTGTGTGTGCGCCACCCTGACGTCACCGCCTCGGCCATCCAGGGCATCCAGATCGCCATCCACGAGTGCCAGCACCAGTTCCGTGACCAGCGCTGGAACTGCTCCAGCCTCGAAACCAAGAACAAGATCCCCTACGAGAGCATCATCTTCAGCAGAGGTAAGGGCTGGACGATCTCCCTCCTCTTCCTCTTCCTCTGCTCAGCCCCTGCTCTCAGGAGCCCTCATGGGCTCCCCATGGGCCTCTGCACAGCTCTTCCCTGGCCCAGGGGACCAGGCCAGCTCTTCAGCATCCCCATGGATGAAGGCAGACAGAGCCTGAGAAACCTCAGGGTCTCTCAGACCAAGCAGCGCTGCGCTGTGGCAAAGCTGGGCTCTTCTCCATGCATGTTTGTACCTATGCTGGCCCTTGTCCTGAGCTGCTCCTCCCTGCCCAGCCCCAGCTGGTCCCAAGGCTCCTTCCAGGCCCCACTGCTTTCTGACATCTTCCCCCCATGCGGTGTAGGCTAGTGTTCGGAGTGGTGCCATGGGTGTGCAGCACAGTTGGTGAGTCTGAAGGTGGATGCCATGCTCTGGGATTCGGTTTGGAGGATGCAGTGAGCATCTTGGCTCATTCCTGCTCTGGGGGTGGTGTTTCAGTGCATCATGGTGAGCAGAAACACCCCTAGCTAATGGGATGTAGCTCTGCGAGCCCATCACCCGTGCGTCCTGCCTTTGTGTTGGCTCCCCAGTGCAGAGAGCTGAGGGCTTTCTGTTTTGTAGGACCCCAGAGCATGGTGGCACGGAGGGGCAGGGGGACAGGCTGTCCTGGAAGCTCGCCTGCCCACAGAGCCCCCACTTGCACTGCTGGGAGAGCTCTCCTAGCCCTCCACTGTCTGCCAAGCCCCAGTGCCCAGGGTCTCCTCGTCTCCCTTGCAGGCATAGCCGGCTCTGCGTCTATCAGAGCCTCCCCGGCTGATACTCTTTCCCTCAGGAATGGACTCTGGGGGTGCAGAGGGGCTGCCCTGCACAGTGCAGATCGGGGTTGTGATCTGATGGGACCTTCTGTAGGACTTGAATGTATCTTCTCACTTAAGTACCGTTCTTGAAGCTTGGGCCTTGGCACACACCAAAGGTCCTGTTGCCCCAGGTTGTGGGCAGGAGAGAACTATGTGGTGCCAGTGGCAGGCAGGCAGGGTGCTGAGGGAGGCGAAGTGCCCAGCAAACACATCGCTCTTCCAGCTCCTGAGGAAGGAGAAGACTACCAAAGCTGCTGCTCACCTACCCCCTTTGGGAGCCTCCTAGCCTGGTGCCCAGCAGAGAGGTGCCTCTGTCCCCCCTTCCTCAAACATCCATCCACACCCTGCAACATCTCTCCCTGGGACTGAGAGAAGAGTCTCACAGAGGAGAGGTTGGCAGCTTGAGGCTTACATGCCTTTGAGGGGATGTGGTGGCAGGAGCCCCCAGGCAGCTGTGGCAGGTGGGGAGATGGCTGGAGAGGGGAGCACAGAAGCGTTTTGGTGCCAGGATGTCCCTCATGTCCAGGGCAGATGGGCAAAGCCTTGCTGGAGGGGATGCTACCTTGGGGCACGCGTGGCATCAGGGCTGCGGTCCTGCTGTGGAGCGGCCGCTGGTGTCTGGAGAAGGGCAGCATCTCTTCCCTCCGTGAGCAGCGCCCAGGTTAAGGCCTGGCAGGGAGGGTGGGGACCGTCAGCCCTGATAAGCATCGAGGTATTTCCAGGTCCTCTGAGGAATGCGGTTCACTTCTAGTCTCCTCAGGCGGCAGGAGACAACAACTTGCTGGCTCAAGTCGCTCACACACCCAGGCGAGCTTCCCTGCTCCAGGTCCCACCAGGCTGGGTGAGAAGCTCCAGCAGCAGAGAACATTGACCTTCTGCATCCTGCCCTCAGCCCACCAGATCTGGTGGTGACCAGTGACTTGCAGCTCACTTGTGTCTCAGGTGCCACTGCAGCCCTTCCCACTGTCAGGGCTGTGACCTGTGGGTGTGGGGACTCCCGCAGCCCCTCGACTCTTGCCCCAGTCCTGAGCTCTTGGGTATGGCTCAGCCCAGGCTCCCAGCACCAGTGGGATCCCATTCCCTGGGATGGAGACCCAGCACCCGGCACCAGGGAAGGATGGAGGTAGGGCTGGAGCAGCAGAGCAGACGGGCACCTCATGGCACTCCTGTTTTGGCAGCAGGGGGTGCAGGATGAGCCCCGAGCACCCAGGCCATCCCATGCAGGTGCTCGGAGCCATTCTGGCATGGAGCAAGCCTTGAGGCTGGTGCTCTGGCCCGCTTCCAGCCCACTCGTGTCCCTCAGTAACAGAGCTGGAGCTCTGAGCTCCGCCTTGCAGCTGTTACGGACACAGCCATCAGAGCAGGGATGCTGGGTGCGTCTCCTGAGCTCAGAGCCAGAGGAGAAGCGAGCAGCAGAAGTGAGGGGTGCAGGCTCCGTGCCGCAGGCATTAATGCATCTGACCCCCAGGGACCAGGTCTCTGCTCTGCACCCTGCCCCATCCTTGCCATGCCTGGGAGCGCAACGTGCTTGTAGGATCATTGTTTGTAACCTGAAGTGACAGACCCCTTTAATCTTTCATTCCTTTTCCCACTTCTTCTGCCATCAGTTCAGCCGTGCGTGAATCTCACTTTAAATTATTTGTAGCTGGCTTCTCCCTCCCGCTTTCCCTGCTTGGCTCCGCTCCCCACCTCCGCCCCATCCTCCTGCATCTCTCGCATCTTTCCCATTGCGGGCATGAGCCATGTGGGGTGCAGCACCAGTGCCTGTCCCACGCTCTGCCTGGCATCCAGGTGCTTGGTGGAGCCAGGGGGCTCATCCCCTGGGGACAGAACAGGGGACAGTGGCAAATAAGTGCCTGTCTCCCCATCCCGCTGATCTGATCCCAGAAGTTTGAGTGCAAGCTCTGGGGAGCCAGGAAGGAGCAGGGAGGCTTCAAACTGGGCAGGGCTGGGAATCTGGCAGGGCTTCTGGGCAGCATAGCTGGGGACAGGGATCCTGACAGCATCCTGGGCAGAGCACAGACCTGCCGGATGCGTCAGGGAGATGCAGCTGTCCCTGGGGTGCAGGGCACAGTGGCTGCAAGGCACAACAACAGGTTAGCAGAGGGCGAGCCGAGGGGGTTGCCCAGGGATTTACTACCCCTTCTCTCACAGAGCCGCTTTTTTTTTTTTTTTCCAGACACCCCCATGGGCTGTGGGTTTTGCCGGTTTCGTCTTTTGATGCTGCACCTTGGGGTGTGGGGTGTCCCTTGTACCCCTCACTGAGCCTTCAGTGCCATCTGCCCCCCCTGTCCTCCTTGGCCCACATCCCCTCCATGTGCATCCAGGCTCAGCATTGCCATTGCAAATCCTCCTCCTGTCCTCCCTGGCTCCTCAGCTGGCTGCCTACATCCTCACCACCCTCCTATCCATTCCCTGGCACCGTCACCCCTGCCAGCACCCTCCAGTCATGTCCCTGGTCCCATCCCTCTCTGCTGACCCTCCCTCTCCCTCCAGGTGCCAGCAGAGACATCCTCTCCTGGCCCCAGGGGCATATATAGGAGGATGGAGCGGTGAGGTGGAGGCAGGTGGCTGCATCTGTACCAGTAACTGAGACAGGTCCCCTGTCCCTGCTCCGAGGGTGAGCAGCGTGATCGTGTCCACCTTGCTGGAGAGGGTGGCCTGTTGCCCCCAGTATGTGGTCCCCCCGTAGCATCCACAGACTGCCAGGCACTGTGTGGCTTGGCTGGGCTGAACCATGCTTGGGTGCATGCCAAAAATGAAGCTGCGGATGGCGGTGGGTTACCGAGCCCTTGTCCTTGTCTGGTACATGTGCACCCATGGGTGGGTGCGATGTCAGCAGGGCTGGGACCGTCCGGCTGCTGGGCAGGGGCTGTCTGAGGTGTGCTGAGGGATCCCTCTTCCCTGAGCATTCCCCTTTGCTCATCCCAACCCCATCTATGTGGAGCTCTGAAAGAAATGGGACCCCCATGGAGGGGCTGGGTGTCCTTGAAGGCTCCTGAGGGGACATGGCTCTGGAGTGCAGCATCCCGCTGTTCCTCCTGCAGCCTTTGGAGGGACAGGTGATGCTTGCATGCCCTTGATTTCATACAGCAAGGAGGGGGGAACTCCCTGCAAGGCTGGAAACACCAGGTCCTGGGGCCCAGCCAGCTGCGAGCCGGAGCCTGGGGAGGCTTTGCCGTGCCGGGGGGGGCAGGTGCTGTTACGGCTGTCCAGGGCGATGCTGCCAAGCTCAGGACCCCGGCACCTGGCTCTGCAGAGCCCCGGCCAAGCTCCAGTGCCTGCGGACTGCAGCGCCTGGCCCGGTGCAGCTGCAGCTGGGCTGCTGGCAGGGTTTTCAGTACCCCCAGGCAAGCCAAGGGCTTTGCCCACCTGGCCCCAAAGTACACGTGGGTGCTTCGGATGCTTGGCTGCATCCCTGCGGGTGCCCCCATCCCCTGGACCTTCCCCCAACTGATGGTGGCAAGCGAGACCCCAGGGACAGGGCAGCATCCCTGGAGGTGCGGGGCTGAGCCTGGCTCCCTGCAGCCCGCAGAGCGGCAAGGGCTGCCGGCTCGGAGCGCCGTGGGCGGATGGGGAGCGAGGGCTGCGGGCTGTCCCCGGCACACTCAAGGAGGTGCAGGGAGGCAAGTCGGGATCTGCAGGGAGGCGTTTAGCGCCTGGCGCTGGGCCAGACCCTGGCAGGTTCACCTGCAGTTTAATTAGAGAGAGGGGAGGGGATGGAGCGGGGCTGGGGGAGAGGCGGCGGGTCGGGACCGGCTGGTTCCCCCGGGGG